GTCCATTCACGTTTTTTACTAGGGTTCTGTTGGAAAGAGCATTTTTCATACTACCCAAAATGATTGCGATTCAATTTCACATTACCCATATCGGAGAATATTTTTCATTTGGCGGCGCCGTTTGTTTATTTCGTCGCGACGTCTCCGGTCACGTGGTTGTCGTCGTCCTTGTGTTGAGGGTAAGTTTTTATCGTTTTAGTTGTACTTAGATGTTAAAAGGTACACTGAAAAGTTTGAATATGCTGTGATTTTAAATTTGGAAACACGTAAACGTCAATCAATTCACGTTTTCCTCGATTAGCGTGCAGATAAGTAACTGTCGACGAAAGTGGCGCCATCCGATATGATGTTTTGAAGGAAGGAGACACAACATATTTACGTGAAAATTTTTGTTTTTTAGTGGTCTAAGTGCTTCAAAGAGGCTGTGAATGTTTTCTTTACACAATTTTTCATTAGTTATGATGAGGTAAAAAGTAGTTTCAGTCTTAACTTTCATATAATTGACATTAAAACATATGATAGTCCACTGCTATCAGTGATTGAGTACCTTGATATTTGGCATTTCTTATTAATTTGAATGTATTCTCTATCCATATGTCCTGATAGTAAGTGACAATACTCTGCCAATATGTTTCCATAGTTTTCACATTCATTTTCCAGTCCTTAACATAACATCATAATTTATAATCAACAAAACTCAACTCCTTCATTACTTCACAACACTGACAGCATGACAGACTGACAGTCAACTATTGTGTGGGTGAATGCTGAAACAGGATAGCCACTTTGCTGACTGGCTCGCTCATATGAAATAAGATAAAAATGATCCTTTGTATCATTTCCATCTGGAGGATCGGAGTCAACGGAAAAGGAAGGCCACTTTCAAGCCTCAAGGTCTAGGCCGCCAGACGCCAGTCGGCAGTCACCACCAAATTTATAATCGATTAATTCATTATTATACTTTGAGTCCCTTAGGTCACTGGATCAGCATCACATTTTCAGTTTCAATATAGTAAAGGTTTTTATTTGTATGATGTGAAATATTTTCCTGAATCAGAATTTAATTATCCCTAGGTACCTGGTAGAGGTTTTGGATATAATGCTTATTGTTGGTGTGCAGTCAGGATTTTTTGACAGGTTCAGATAGGGAATCGTGAGCAATTTTATAGTAAAGTGGTCTCCTTATAATCACCACACATTTTATCAAAAGCATTTGCAGAATTCATTCAATGAAGAATTTTATCAATGCTGCACCCATTTCTTAGACGACCTAGGCTGCATCTTTTTTTTAGTTCCTGTTGTATGACATATTTTCCGTTTTGTTCCACTGCATAAAGAAAAAAATCGTTTGAGATCACCAAACAGCTTTTCTTTTTCTGGCAGGTCTGCACAACCAAGCGGTCGCTGGCGAGGACGTCGGCCGTCTCTGTGGGTAAGGTCATCTGCTCAGCCTTTGTGGAGATCAGCAAGACGTCACTAAGATGAAGACTTCGCTGGAGCAGAAGCCGCTGACCCGTGTCCGATCGGGCAGGTCATGCTCGACGGCACGAGCCACAACTCGAACGACTCGGTGACATCAACAACATGGTGGAGCAGGTGAATGAGTTTGGCGACGTGTTGTGCGACTGCAAGAAGGGTTGTCTGCGTGTTCTGGCCGGCGGAGCGGCGACGCTGCGCAGTCTGTGCTGGCGGTGAGCAGCTGGCCGTGGTGACCGCGCGCGCCCACATGCGCCGACAACCTGTGCGGCTTCGACGGCCCGGGACAGCCCGATGCCGCCCACTATGCGACGCCGACCGCACGCCGCTACCTCGCAGCTGGTCTGCAACCACGCCGTCGCCGCCTGTAGCCCGATAACAAAACGGCTGTCTGATAATGCCGCGTGTTCTTTGTGATGTTGCTACTGTGATCGTTGCTACTGCTGGTCTGAGACTCGATGTTTCCATTCGTCTTTTACATGTTAAGGATTTGATAATGATAAGCTTAGTCCGAGCTTAGGTCGTTAATATCATTTGTTATATGGCATATTTTGGATCAAAGCAGTACGACACTGCCTCCTGCTTTTGTGATGTATGCTGGGAAGACGCAGGTTCCGGTCGCAGGTCACCCGGACCCGGTTCCAATGTGGTCGGGCTGGCATGCGATAATGTGATGTTGTTTTGCTCGTCTCTGTGTTCCACACTTGATGATGTTTGTGAATCTAACCCACATTGTATAGTATTTTTGTTTGTTTGCGGCCGATGGCCTTGTAAGTTGTAACCGTGGCAATACAGTTTTTCCTGCTATAATTCTCCAATATTCAAGGGTGGGTGGATATCTCTGTATTCACGTATTCCCTTCTCCCAGTACAGTCAAAGAATATCAATTACAGTATTCATACGGATTATTCAAGCCTTATATAATTATTTGAGGTGTGCCGAATCCGAAAGACCGATAAAACTACTAGCGGAAAATGTGACATGATGCCATGGGTTTGTGAAAAGTTTAGGTACCACGTAGCATTCAACTTCCTGCATTTCTGTTTCAACTCAGTTTAACGTATTTCAACGAACATAACATCAAAAATGGCAGCCAGTACCGGCTTCACCTGTCACGGAGAACGCTCAAAAAATTGAGTGTAGATGCTGGCCGGCACTCAATTTTTTGAGCGCCAGCTGACTGTCGTCTGTCGTGGCGCTCAATTTATTGAGTATCGCGGTCCCGAACGACAAGTGACGCTCAAAAAGTTGAGCGTCTTTAGGGCATTTTCTTTCCAAAAACACCGATATAAATTATCACGGCGAGTGTTCGAGAAGAAACCTTGTTGCTCTCTCTTGCCATTGATACCTTATTTGGATACGATATTTGCCGTAGTGTGACGCTAAAGGCATTGTAAAATACCATCGTTTCGCCTATTCCTTCATAATGGGGCCCGCTCAATTTTTTGAGCGCTCAATTTTTTGAGCTTTTCCCCCTTGTGCGTGGGACTGAAACGGCTTAATGTAACACAATTCACTGTGTATACGAAACCTATACCTAAGTCCCTAAAAATAATCTTATTTACAACTTTTAAAAAGATACAGCTTGTACAGCATAGGCACACAATTTTTTCTGCATTAAGATAATGTTCATTTATCTCCACAGAATATGGTAAATTAGTGCTGCTGAAGTTAGCTTTCGAAGCGTCTCCACAGCTCTCGTGCCATTTTGGATCACGGAACATGGCTGGGTGCAGGACACGTCGTCTGCGAGCTTGGACGGACCACGTGACCACCTTCTCCCCTCCCCCTCACTGCCGTCCCCTTCCCCAGCAGGGCGTCCGATCTAACCGCGCCCCAGGCAGTCGGCTCGGTCCGACCCTCCCTGGTCGAGCCACGGCCCGGTGCCGCCTGAGTTTGTGCCGGGTGCAAAACTGGAGCAGTAACTAGCGCCGGAACTAGTAGTCAGCACGACCATCGTCAGATGGCAGGAGTAAATGGAATAAGCGGTTCCAGGTTTCAGAAGGAATGGGGCAGGAAAAAGCGCTGAAAACAATGTTTTGCTGATATAGCCATAAAAAGTTCACTGAATTAGGAGAGCAGCACACCAGTTTAAAGCCCTTCAGATGGTGGTTTTAATAAGCACTCAATCATTTCTCAATTCGCCTCCAACGGTGTCACAGGCAAAGAATACGCTGAAATACTAGTGTGTACATAAGCAACTGCGGGTCCCTGTACCAGTAGCGCTGCCACTGCATGTAGAGACAAATTCAGTAACATCTAGGGTTAATTTATAAACTGTTCTACTGCTTACCAAAGTCTCAAAAGGATGCGGGAGGATCGAAATGCAGCGAGCTTCGCCGGCCGCAGGCAGCACCGGTGACCGCGCAGTTCGACAAGGAGTTACTAGCTGGTGTTTCTCCGCCGCCGCCGCGCACCGCCCAGAAGCCGAAGCAGATGCCGCCACCGGCCACGCCGCCGACACTACCAGCAGCCCGGCGAAAGTGCAGCCCACCACAACTATCCTGAGGACAAATGAAATGCAAGGGACAGAGCGGAACCAAACATACTTTACACAATAGAATGAGCGCATCAATGTAGAAAGAACTGTTAAAGTATGACAAATGTAAAATGGATCGTGATTCGACATGAGACACCAAAAACAAAGACAAACCAAACAAACTAAGCAAAACCTAACCATCAACAAAGGTTAAAAAAAGAAACATGGAGCCTGCGACAATACCCACAAACTACCTCCTCTTCGTTCCTCGCAAGGCTGAACACAAACTCGGAATCAGAATATGTTAACATCAGTCCAAGCGGGAACTAAACACTTACACATTACAGTTATAGCAATGATTAATGCAAACTTACGCCCATCATGAAAACACGCTAAAACTTTACAGGTACAGTACAAAACAGGTAACAGCTACAATTATACGTTTTAAGGTAACTATAGGCTGGACACATGCAGCTGTTGGGGATCGGAGTTCCTTGCCTGGTGTGGTGTGGTAGCGAGGTAGCTGGCAAGGGTCGCCGACTCGCCACCGCTCGTGCCGTCCGTCGTCCGCGGCAGCTGCCGGTCTCTAGCGTTCGAGTACGCCGAAGCCCAGCTCTCGCACTCGCTGCAGTGTGTCCACTCTCTTTCCCACGCCATGCTTCTGTTCCTTGAAGAACACGTAGCCACCGCGGGAATACACTGTGTATATCTTCTGCTCTCGCTTGGCGGCCAGCAGGGACCTGAAGATCCGGCTTCTAAGCTTGGTTAGCGACTCGTTTACATAGAGTTCCTTTCCGCGTAGCTCCATACGGCGACCCATCACGCGGTCACGAATGCTCCCCTCGCCCGAACGCACGAAGCGCACAATCACACGATTGTTCGGGCCAGGCAGGCGGTGGGCGTGGTCGATATCGCTGGCGGTGACTTCCAGTCCCGGCAGACACTGGTTCAGGGTGCTGATGACGAGACCGTTGATGTCCTTGTGGTAGATACGCTAAAATTACAGGCCGATTCCTCTGGTTAGCCACATGAAATTCCAACTTAAACTTCTCTGCCGGTTTATTACTTTACAGGCAGCGGTAACACGGCGACAGATGGATCCAGACTGACTAGAAAGGATAAAAACAAAACGAAATCGGCTCGGTGAAAAATGGAAGCATTACATCACTAACAAAAAGTGATGGATTCAGGACTGGGGCGGGCAAATAGAGGAAAGTTTTACTGGGTGAGGAAAGGTAGGGTACATCAACACGGGTCACGGGTGAAGGTAAAAAAGGTAAGAGGCTACTAATCACAACACACTCCCCACTCGAAATCGAGCGCACGACCGATTTCGAAAAACAAACAGAACGATGAATACGACAAAAGGCACAGCACTCTGCGATAGTTCGCGGCGACGTAACTCGTCCCGATCACTGCACCGGTACGACTCAGTCCGCCGCCTCCAGCAGGAACAGGCGGCTGACAGGGCGGCGAGTGCTCCGCCCGCGCAGGCTGATGACGGCGGCCCTCACGTGGCCGTCCGGCCCCGCCAGCAGCCGCGTCACTCGCGCCACAGGCCACCGGCCGCGCGGCCTCTCACTGTGGACTAGCACCACGTCTCCCACGCGCGGTGTACGGCTAGGTCGTCCACGGGGCGAGACGCTCCAGCAGCGGAGAGCGTTGCGGTACTCATCACACCACCGCCGGATCAGATGGTCGCAGACCCGCTTTTGGTGACGCCAGGCCCTGCTGATGGAACACTCTTTCAATGTTGGGCACAAGACACCGTCTATGCTCGTCACGCCGAACAGCAGGTGGGCGGGGATAAGGAGATCTTCACCATCGCCCTGGGTGAGGGGGCGCAGGTTTATGAAAAAAGCGAGCTCATACATCGTGGCAGACAACTCCTCAAACGTCAGGTGGCACTGATGTAGGGTGATGCGAAGAGCCTTCTTTGTCACGCCCACCAAACGCTCCCAGTACCCTCCCCATCAGGGGGCAGCCTCAGGGATGAACTTCCACGTTACCGACCGGGGTAGGTGGCCAAGCAAGGCCCGGAACGTCCGAGCGTTGTCGCTGTACACCAGAGCTGGCGTCCCTCGGATGGCGCAGAACCGTCTCAGCGCCAGGATCACGTCAGCGGTGGCCTGTGAGCGAACAAGCTCTAAGTGCACCGCACGGGAAGTGGCACATGTTATCAAAAGCACCCACACTTTCGCCTGGCTCTGATCAACGTACAGTGGGCCGAAAAAATCGACACCGACTTTGGCAAATGGACGGCTCGGCTGTGTTCTGAAGTTGGGCAGTGCTCCCTCAGGTGATCGGTACGGTACGCATCGGTAACGACGGCATCGGCGACAGGTTTCAACGATTCGACGCACCGTGCGTCTCCTCACCGCGTACTCAGCAGTCAGCAGGGAGAGGGTTACCCGCGTCCCCTGGTGGAAGCAGAGGCGGTGCGCGTCATCGACAATCAGAGTGGTGACATGGGCCAGGTCGGGCAGCACAGGTACAGCCCGCTCCCCACTGCGCAGCGTCGCCTCCAGCACGCCATCGTCACTTAGCTGTGGATGCAGCTTTTGAAGCGGTGAGCCGGCCGGCAGCAGTTTACCGGCACGTACGGCGTTGGTCTCCTCTCTGTAGGCACGGGCCTGTGCCTCTCTGATCCAGAAGCGGAGGCTCAGTCTCTTCTCCTCGGGCGTCAGCGGACCCGTCCGGCGCTCCTCCCTCGGTAGGCGGCTGTTGGTGACGAAACGGAACACCCACGCGAGCCTCAGCACAGCCTGTGTGAGGGTAGAACATGACGTAATGTCAAACGGTAGGGTCTCACTTGTGTCACTTCGCGTCGTCAGCAGGGTCAGCTTCAACGGGGGCTTCTGCAGCTTCACTTCCCTGGTGGCCTCCTGAGACGGCTGCAGACTGTCGGCCTCGTCTGTCGGTCCACAGCAGATCCTGGTATCAGGTCCCTGTCGGAGGAATGTCGGTCCTCGCCACCACAGATCACACTTCTCCAGAGCGGTCATGGACATGCCTCTCGTCCCCAGGTCGGCTGGGTTGTCTTGTCCTCTTACGTGGTGCCATTGCTCCGCTTGAGTCAACTGGAGGATGGTGGTCACTCTGTTCTGCACGAACAGCTTCAGCTTCTTCTTGCTCTTCAGCCAGAAGATGACGTCCATGGAGTCGGTCCAATAGACGACTTGTGGGCTCTCCAGACTCAACGCCTGTCTGACAAAGTCCATCAGCCTGGCGCCGATGAGGGCACCCATCAGTTCAAGTCTGGGCACGCTGAGGGCGGGAGTCAGGGGCGCGAGACGAGATTTGGACATGAGCAGCCTGGACTCCCCACCCTGCACAGCGTAGATGACACAGCAATACGCTTTCTTTGAGGCATCACAAAAGACATGGTAGGTGACGTCACAGTCATTCGTCAGCAGCGCGCGGGGGAACCATACAGTTCGATCTGGTGCGTCTGTGAGCCATTCTGCTAGCTCCTCCTGTAGCTGTGGGGGCAGCTCCTCATCCCAGCTGACCGTGCATCCGACTCCCCACGTTCTCTGGAACAGAGACCTGCCGACAACAAGCCACGGAGAGAGTACACCGAGCGGGTCAAACGGCTTACTCAGCAGGGACAGCATCTCTCTCCTGGTCTTGGCCACATGGAAGCCAGGCACACTCACTGCGAGCAGGTCCGTGGCGGGGTTCCACAGAAGACCCAGAACGTTGGCCTCGCTGTCAGCGTCACCGGAGATGCGCCGCTTGTGCAACTCCATGCCTGCGTCGCGGAAGATCTCCTCCGCCCGCGACATGCTCGACTCAGCTTCGGCTCTGCTGCAGAAGGAGGTGCACACATCATCCATGTACAGGCCACATTGCAACTTCTCACACAGACCCGGCTCCTCCCCACAGTACAGGTCCAGGTGAACAGAGATAGTTTGCAGCAGCATGAATGGGGAACATGTTATACCGAACGGAACTCTGCGGAAACGAAGACGCTGTCCGTCCCACAGAAATTGTAGGTACTTTCGGTCTTCCTCGGACACCGAAACCTGGTGAAAGGCAGCACGTATGTCTGTCTGAGCTCCCACGGCGTCTCGTCTGAAGTTGAGCAGCACGGCAGGCAGACGTCTGAGCAGATTGCTTCCCGGCTCCAGGTAGTCATTCAGGCTGTGGCCAGTGGCGTCCCGGGCAGAGCCGTCGAAGACCACCCGCAGCTTTCCACCGCGCCAGATGCCGCGGTGCGGCAGGTAGAACCCTTGTAGGTCATCGTTGGGCGGCGTCTCGATCACGCCGGCTCTATACAGATCTTCCAGGTGTCTCTGGTACGCTTCCCGCTCGGGGACTGTGAGCCGTCCCTCCATGCGTCCGATCCGGGCTGCTGTTAAGCTGAGGTTAGAGAGGGGGCGATCATCAGACTTCCACAGAAGGTTCATTTCGTACCTCTGTTCGGCGTCACTCCACTTCGGCTTCATCGGTGATCTCTCGTCCTCGTCCCCGGAGATGCCGAGCGCCTCCAGACTCCAGAGCTGCTCCGGCTTGAAGTCTGGCGACGGAAGCCGGCAGCAACGGAGCGCGTACTTCACCGACGCGCAGTCCACCGGCTCGCAGTCCACCGGCGACCCATCTCGGCCGTGCAGTACGTAGCCGAACACAGTTTCCAGGGCCCTGAGATGGTCAGTCAGCTTCACCTGCTCCCACAACACAACTCTGTACATCAGGTCGGCGCCGATCAACACGTCCACTGGCCCACCCTCAAAATCATCAGCAAGCAGAAGATGCGGTGTAAATACGGCAGTAGGCGGTCGGGCGGGGGTCAGTTGGGAACAGAGACGATCAGTCTTCCAGAGATCGAAGACGTGAGGCTCCCCACCGTGACGGCTCCGCAGAGACAGCCTCACCTTCTCATACATCCTCGGCTCCTCGAGCCGCTCTTGGAAGCCCAGGCAGGCGAACACACCTCTCCCCACCGTGGGCAGACCGAGTAGCTCCGCTGCAGATGTCCTCACGTACGACGAGTCCGAGCCGCCGTCGAGAAGAACGCGAAGCTGGCAGGTACCCCGCGGTCCAGACGCCTCCACCAGAGCTGTCTGCATGTAACACAAGTTTTCGCATGCAGCAGGTCGGTCAGACGAAGCAGCCTCCAGCAGGCAAGCATCAGGTGAGCAGTGAGCGACAGCACACGGCGTCATATGCACGTCGGGCATAGCACAAGCGGTATTCACCCTAGCGGTAGTGCTGGATGATGGCACTAGCGGCTGTGGTGAGACTGGCGTTGGTAAGACTGGCTGTGGCACATCAGCAGCGCAAGCAGCGGTGACATTCATGGCCTGGCGGGGAACAGCGGGCGACCAACCTGGACGTTGAGGTTGCTGACCAACTGGCGGTGGCGGTGGCAGATCTGGTAGGTAGCTCCCCTCGCGGCAGGGAGGCAGTTGCTGAGGACGGCTGTCCGCTCGGTGTGCGGGCGGCCGTCGGTCACGGGTACCAGCTCCGGGCTGGCGTCCTGGCTCACTGTGGAGGCTGGTGTGGTGTCGCTCTCCACACACACGGCAGTTAGAGCTGCGGCAGTCACGAGCAAAGTACGGCCCCAGGCACTGATAGCACAAACCAGCCCTCCTCACTACAAGCCATCTATCATCAACAGACATTCTCTGATAGTCAAGACACTTGCTCAGGCCATGTTTATCCTTTTTGCAAGCCACGCAGGTCCATGCAGCACTGGCAGGGGTTGTTCGGTTCCGACTCACCGCCAGCATACTCACTGAGTGCAGTGGGCTCCGTTCCGGAGGGACAGGATGCCTGGCGCCGATGTTCGCTTCCTCCCTCATGTCCATCTCCTTGCGAAGAAACCCGAGGAAGTCCTCCAACCCTGGATCCGGCTGGTGCTGGCGCGCCCATTCGAGCCTCCACGACTCTGGCAGCTTTCCCTTGGCTATGGGAAGAAGCAGGCTCGACAGGTTAGCACAGCTTACTCCCATCGCGGTCAGTGTCCTCACATGTGACATCAGATGGTCTATGAAGGATCTCATGGCAGATAGGTCGTCACTGACACTGGGCATGTTCAACAACTTTTTCATGATCTCCTCCCTCACTCTCTTGATTTTACAGAATCGGTCTTTCAATGCCTCCACAGCTGACTGGTAGCAAGCATCAGACACTGGTATACCTTTAACACATTGCAGTGCTAAACCAGAGAGGTGGCTCTTTAGTATGCTGAACTTCTGTATATTCACATACCTTGAATTGGTGTGCACAGCAACCTCAAACAGGTCCCAGAATTCCGACCACTGTAACAGATCTCCAGAAAATACTGGAATCTTTACATCAGATGCCCTCAGGTCAGTAGAGTCAGACTGAGCTGGGGCTGGTTGAGCAGACGCATTCTCAATCCTTGACAGATGACGTTTTGCCTTGAAAACCTCTCTGATGCTATCTAAATGTGAACTCTCGTCAAACACTCCCTTGACAGTCAGAACATCCTGCAAAGAAACCATCTTCTGCTCTAGCTGCTCCAAAACATGAATTTTGTACGCCAAGTCATCTTGATCGACTACTCCTGCCCTGTAGTCTTTCAAGTCACGGGTCAGCTTTGTGGCCTTACCTCTAAGCAGAGTTCTGTCCTTCACCAACACCTCCACTTCCTCACTCATCTTGTCAGGCATCTTGATGTCAAATCACAGCGCAAATCTTCAAAGCATCGCAATCAGCAAAGAACAAAGAAGCAAATGACTGAAAAAACAGTCATCCGGCCCGGAGGACTATGTGGTAGATACGCTAAAATTACAGGCCGATTCCTCTGGTTAGCCACTTGAAATTCCAACTTAAACTTCTCTGCCGGTTTATTACTTTACAGGCAGCGGTAACACGGCGACAGATGGATCCAGACTGACTAGAAAGGATAAAAACAAAACGAAATCGGCTCGGTGAAAAATGGAAGCATTACATCACTAACAAAAAGTGATGGATTCAGGACTGGGGCGGGCAAATAGAGGAAAGTTTTACTGGGTGAGGAAAGGTAGGGTACATCAACACGGGTCACGGGTGAAGGTAAAAAGGTAAGAGGCTACTAATCACAACAGTCCTCTCGCTCTTCCCACTCGCCGGCTCGCCCCGCAGCCCGCCCCCCGGCACCGCGGCCCGCCGACTGACCCGGTCCGCCGCTGTTCGGGCGATCAGCTGACTCTGACGTCACGGTCATAGGACCCCGACCTGTGTCAGCCAGCGCGATCGGCCGAGGGTCGACCGCCGCAGGCGCTGTCTGGTTCGGCAGGGGCGGCTCCAGGCGGGGCGCGCGGCGGGCCGCCATGGCGGCGCCGGAGAGGATGATGCAGGGGAGTCTTGAATTAATCTCAGCCTCCTCCACCCGGGTCTCCAGCGTCGACACCACCGAGCGAGACCGGCCGAGCTCCTCGCTTAGCTGGTCAATAACGCCATCTCTCTCTTCCACGTGCCGCTCCAACTCTTTCACGCGACCGTTGAGCTTCTCGATCTCCGCCGATAACGACGTGCGGAACTCGTGGAGTTCTCTGGAGAATGCGGCCATCAGTCGTTCCTCCAGCCCGTCGATGGCGACGTCCAGTTGCTCTCTGAAGCCTCTGTTGCCGCCGAGTGTCGACGGACTGCGGCCCGGCTCGCCGTTCCGCTCTCTGGCCCCGCGCTTGCAGGCGGGTGCAACGTCTCCAGACTCCGATCGGTCCCGCTTCTGTCCTTCACCGGCGGGGTCGCTGTAGTTGCGCACCAACTCACTGACGGATCGCTGATCGCAACTGGTGTCGGACGGGTGACCACCCGTCACACTGTCACTGTCCTCGCCTGTACACTGCGACGCGGCTCGGCGCGGCATGGCAGACGCGCGTGTCTGCAGCGCGTTGGCAAAAATCGAAGGCACTAATGTCGCAGGCTCCACGTAAGTCTGAGGCTCACACTTTCATGTGTTCACTGTGGAGCCAACAAAAAGCCACCGGCACAGCAAACGAGGAGTGCGTGGTCACGCTCGGGGACTCCGCACTCTGCGTGGCTCAGCGGAGCAGCGCGCGCACGCGTCCTGACCCGCCCGCTGTCACCGGCCGACTGAAATCACGATTCTGTGTGGTTTAGATAGTTGGAGGTCCTTCCCTAGTTGGCAGTGTTTTTGGTGGTCACATGAGTCTCAAGCAATGAGACTGAGCAGCGCCATCACTCAAGCCATCCGCTTGGCCAAAGGCAATGACTGTGGTGTTTGAGGCTTGTCAGTGCCAGAGTTGAACGTCATCTTTTTTGTTACAGATAAAGGAGTTGAAGATGGACGGCTCTCGTCGGCAACGACCATACCATGCTGAAAGTACCAGTTCCCGTCCGATCACTGAAGTCAGGCAGCATCGGGCCCGGTTAGTACTTGGATGGGTGACCGCCTGGGAACACCGGGTCTCGCTGTCATTTTCGCTCCTTCGATGGTGGCCACTGATGGCTATTTATCCCCTCACTGTTAGTTGAGGTGTGTCGACCACAAAAAAAAAGAATCATGTGAAGAGAGTTATATTTTATGGCCCAATAGTATGGTAAGACGATTGCTTCGAAAATTACCAGTTAAAAATGAAAAACTGACTCCCGCGAGGCAAAATTGTTCGCCGACTTGGTCTCTTTCTGGCGATACTAGCGCCCCAGCGTATACAGTAGGGCCGTTCCGAAAGCTTTAGTTACATACTCAGTTTATGTCCCAGTTACCGAAGCTATATATTAAGGTACGCTCTCGGTAGGTATTTTAAATAGTAAGTACTGGGTGCTTCCCGCCCACCTCCGACACTAATACTCAGACATTATCAATAATTTTTTCAGTATTTTGTGGAATTTTGTAACCAACCTATCTCAGATCTGAGTGCCTTACCTCGTCAAGCTTGGCCCCCTCTCCGTCAACCCTTTCTCCCCGCAACCCTCTATCCACGCCCTGACCCCCCCTCCCAGTGGCGTATTTAGGGGGGCCATGGGGGCCATGGCCCCCCCCTTTCCGCCCAGCCGCCCAGATGGCGCTCCAATTGGCGCCGACTAGGCTGATGACGTTTTACAGAGGGAACATGAATTAAAGAGTGATGTGAAGGCAGGGATCGAACTCAGTATCTCTTTGGGGGTGCCTGGACACCCGAATGTTCTCCAGGACATCGCTAACTAGGACCTGAGCCCCCAATTATGAAGGGCGCCCCTCCGGAAACCAGAATAGTCCGAACCCCCAGGGTCGATGGCGCCCCTGAAGAGCCGCTGGCACCCAGCTGAACGGAACAGTCGCCCCTTTAACCTTCCAGGCGGTGGGGGGCATTTTTTGGCCCCCCTTTAGTTTTTTCGATATATCTCGAGAACCGCTGCGCCGATCGTCATCAAACTTTCAGTACCCTCCCGGAAGTAGCTAGCGCACATGGTGACCAAAAATTTTACCAAAGGCTATGATAGGTTGGCCGCTACTGACGTCAGAGTGACGTCATTTCTACCATTTTCGACCAAAAAAAGGTTTCGCGGGAAGAGCTGTCAGGCCTACAGCTTTAGAGATACAGAAAAATGTTTAAGACATAAAAGGTGTGGAATCAAGAGGGCTACAAAACTGTTGTTTCGGTTTTTCGAATTTTTTGGATTTTGACCCCCCCCCCCAAAAGAAATAGATTTTTTGAATATAATAGCCAAAAAATTCAAAAAGTTTTTTGAATTTCGAAGAAGCCGGCATATATGTGATAGTCCCTACCGCCTTCTATCTACATACCAAATTTGAGATCGATACCTCTTTTTTTGGCCAAGTTATAGCGAAAAAACTGTTCAAAATTGATGACGTCAAATTTTCAAACTCAATTTTTAGCAATTCTAGACCTCCTAGCGCAAAACAAAGACCACCATTAGACTCCCCGTGACGAGCTGCATCGAGACAATACCCATTTTACGCAAAAATATCAACTTTGAAATTTGACCTTTTTTGACCTGACCTTGACTTGACCTCCACCAGAAAGTGACCTAAACCGTACCTGATGGTCTTATAACCAACACCATTGAGCTGGAAATGAAAAACTGGCCATAAAACATGCATCGCACAACCTTAGTAAAGTTGGGTTCATGTGGTGACCCTTGGTGACCTTTGGCGACCTGACCTGTGACCTGACCTGGTATGACCAGTGACCTCTAATAGCAACATATGCACTAGACAACTGACGCCCTATCGCTGATTTTCGACAAAATGCGTTTTACTCGGTGTTGTAATAGCGCTTTCCCTAGAAGCCCCGTGAACGGTGAAACATTTTATCTTTGACCTGACCTGTGACGTCATCGGTGACCCCGAGGTCAATGAAATTTGGTTTCCTTCGATAAATTTGACAGGGCTATCGAACGCCGTTTGAATTTTCCGGATCCGTCCAGTAGTTTCGGAGACACGGGGGGGGGTGAAAAAAATGCCCCGCGCGGAAGGTGGCCGGGAGGCCCACCGCCTGCCGGGTTAAAGGTTGATAGCGCCCCTCTAGAGCACTCGGCGCCACTCTGAAGTTCACAGCTGCCCCAATCGGCCCCATTCAAGATCGATCGCGCACCCTCAAACCACTGGCGCCCCTCTAATGGCCCTTTCACACGTAGCAACTTTTCCGGTCGCCGGCGACGGCAACTGTCGCCGGCGATCGCCAGCGACCGGGGTCAGTCGCCGGCGATCGCCAGCGACCGGGGTCAGTCGCCGGCAACTCCGCAGTTGTCGATATCAGCTGACCAGTCGCCGGGGTGTGACGTAGCAGTCGTGTCAGCCAATCATTGAAGAGTT